TGGTTTAACACGCCGCTTCCGGGGGCCGCTCCAGAGCTGCGGAATCGCCGCCTCGCGCCGGGCGTCCTCGAGTCACTGAGCGCGCCCATGGGGTCGGTGGCGCTCGGGGACCGAGCCCCGGCTGTCCGTAGCAGCCCCCCTACGCCCCACTGCCTCACGCCTGCGCCGGGGGTCACTCCGCACTGAAGCTCCCGCACCCAAAGCCCCGTCGGAGGCTCTGTTTGGGGGACCCGAACTAAGACGCGCACATCGCGTGACTCCACCGAGATAGAATCGGCTGGACTTGGCAATTTCCCACGTTAAAGAAAAAGGAGTCCAAAGTTTTCCACTTGAAGGGATCTGGAGGACAGGCAGTGACGTCATGGGGAAGCAAAAGATACGCAGTGGCAGGCCGCCCGGCGAGGATGAAGAAACCATTTCAGAGCTGCCTTAAGTTCGACAGGCTGGTAGGACGTCTGGCTGCAGACGCTCCCACACTGAAGTCCCTTCTTCATTCCCGGACACTTTCCTTCATGGTCGCAACTCATTCCAAACAGACATAATTTGGGGCAACAGCGGGGCCTTCCTGTTGCAAAAGGAGAAAGAGACGGATGGACGGACTAGGTAGGGTCCGCGTGTGCCACACTGTCCTACCCCTAGGCGGTGCTTCCAGCCAGGGGGCTGTGGCGTTACTGCAAGGGCTCCCCGAGTCCACAGGCACCCGGCAATGCAGAGCGAATAATAGCAGGCTGATAAAAATACATGCTGCTGGTTTTCAGATGTCTGGAGATACTTTTGAGAGTAATAAAATAATCCATTCTTTACAGAATTCACACCTTTAGGTCACAGTTTCTTCCAAAATTATAACCACTAGACAGTATGTCTGGTTCGCATGTTTTATTGACATCAGAAAAACATTCTTTCTGCTTGGCAATCAGTCGAGTCCACTGCAAAGGCATTTCCCAGCAGACCTCGGCAGGCCGCCCGGCGAGGATGAAGAAACAGCCTGTGACCTGGTGCAGGTGAGAGGCGGGAAGGCCTCAGGCAAGCCTGGCGCACTGGGCGCTGGACTCGGAAGTGTTGGTTCTTTATCAGATGGGGCTTCATCGCACAGGATGTGGAGACCGCACACGAAGCGGACGGGCTCGCCTCGCAATGGCACTGGGCTCTCCTCTTCCTCTTCCTCTCTCCTCCCTGCTTTGCTCGCGTGTGTCCCCCTCCGCTCTCCTGGCTTCGCAGGGCCAGCGGCTCCGAACAAGCTTTGGCCTCATTACTTCGCTCCCTGTCCTCGGTTTCCTGAACTGCTGATTGGATTTAAGGCTGTCGTTCCCAGCTCTGGCCCTGGCTTTGCTTCGGGCCCCACTTTCTGGTCTTTGCTTGCCAATCCTTCAACACCCAACACTCGGTCCCCTCCCTGGCCTCAGGATGCCACTTGACCTGTATGAGACAGGGATTGTGCTAGGTAGAATCGGGTGGGCATTGGAAGTTATTGCACGTGGGGAGCGAGGGAGCGAGGAAGGGGTCAAGCACTCCTCCAGGCTGTTTTGCTGGGACCTGGGTGGATGGAGGTGCCACCGAGTCAGGCAGAGGGGAGCAACTTTGAAAAAAGAAAGGAAGTTTGTCTTTGCACACGTTTTGTGAGCCAGCTCCTAGGAGCTGCAGTGGAGCCGGTGTCGACGGCAGGGGAGGATGAGAACTCTTGCAGTGACTCAGCTGACAATGACCTGGCCGTCCTCTAGTGGACCTCTGCCATCAGTCCCTACCTACCCACTCTTGTCCATTTTCACATCTGTCCGATTCCACCCATTTCCAAATGTGGCATGCTCATTTTTAGTCATTCACTCCATTGGCCATCACTGGTAACTGCATTTTTTTTAACACACCGCTAATACTAAGGTTTCCACCCAAACCCTGGCTGTTTGTCTCTCCTTACCCCCTTTCTCTCGCAGAAGAGCGGCTGGAAAGGAGTCACCAGGTCCCTGGGATGGGCCATGATGGTTCGGTGCCAGGTATGGTGCTGTCACAGCTCTGCCATGGTCACCAGCACCCAGTGCCAACCTCCTTCCCCCTACTAAAATGACAATAGGCAGCTGAGATTAGTGTCGGGGAAGTGTTGTGCTGTGTACTAGTTTTGTACGAGGTGCACATACGAAGAGCTGAAGCTTGGACCTTCGTGGCAAATGTTACTGGCATGAGTCAAAGAATTTTTTAAAACTACAAACCCAGCGCATTCGGTCCAAAGGGCTTGAATACTGAAGGAGTCCTGGCATTAGGGGCGTTTCTGGCTGAGGACCTGGAAGGCGATGGGAAGGGCAGGGCTGCTGCCAGGGTGGGCTGGAGCCCATATCCCATCAGCACGACGGGCTGGCACTGAGCACACTCAGAGCACATGTGGCCTGCCTGCCAAAGCTTCCACCGCTGCATTCCCACCTCCGCCCAGGTCCCAGCGCTTAGATGACAAGGACCCAGCCTATAGTGAGTCTCTATAGGGCTGCGCTGTCCCATACAGTAACCTCTAGCCTCATGTGGCTATTTTAAGTGTATATTAGTTGAAATGAAATAAATTTAGCATTCAGTTCCCTAGGTGCATTAGCTACATTTCAAGTGCTCAGTAGCCACATGTGGTTACTGTATTAGTGAAGACTAAACAGAAACTTCATTTAAATTGGAGTGGGGAGGGTCTATAGGGGGAGCTCTCACACTCCACGGTTCATAGTCAATTACCCGGAATAGGAAAAAGACCACTTTCCACGCCCACCAGGAAGATGTTCTACTTTAGCAGGAAGGAGGGTCTTCTTCCCACTCAGCCAATGAAAGACTATTACGACTCAGCCAATGAAAAGATAGGACACTTGCAACTCCATTTCCTTGGTTAACAACAGCCTTCTGAACCCCACCTTTCCTCTGTGAAAGAACATCCCATCGCTCTGGGAGACCTGATTTTGTGGTTTGCCTGCTAGGCCACTTATCTTGAATTGCCATTCTTCGTTGTTCCTGAATAAACCCGTTTTGCTGGAGAAACATCCGGCTGACTTTGTTCAAGGTCAACACATATTGCACTATCCAGACAGAACATTTCCATCCCCACAGAAATTTCTATAGAATACCAATATTAAGACCACTCCCAACCTCGGGCCACAGGTTGCAACCTTGCCCTAAGCCTGAATCTTGCCAGCTTTCTTTCACCCAGCAGTCTGTTTGGGGCCCTGAATCCCCCCAGAGAGACGGTCCCGGACAACCCTGCCATCTACAGTTTTCCTGCCACACTCTCTTCAGAGACCTTTCCATTCCAATTAATCATGGGGTGTCTCTTATGCGCCAAAAACTAAGGTAGGGCTTTGGTGATAAGCCGCACGGGGTACCGGAGCCAAGGATGCTTGTGTGCTAGAGGAAACAACACACAAAGTTTAGATAACTCTAAATAAACAAACCCAGTAATAAGATATGAAGTATCTGGGGGCCATTTGGCTGGAGGCCAAGGAAGCCCAGTCTGAGGACATTTAATCTAATTTAATTGAAAGATAGGGAATGAGCATTCCAGGCAGAGGGAATGCCCAGCGTGGGAATGAGGGAATGAGCTTGGCCAGTTCCAAGAATAGCTGCTGTGTTGGGAGCTTAGTGGGTGAGAGGAAAAGGAAATGAGGGGAAAACAGGAGGCGGAACCAGGCTGTGTGGGACCCTGGAGGCGGCCAAGAGGCAGCCAACTATTCTTAGTTCAATAGATATGTTTCCAGTGAGGAACTGACATGATCTCGTAATACCAGCCCTACCGGCCCATATCGAACTGAAAAATTCACCTCCTCCAAAACGCTGGCTTCTGGGTTTATGACTTCTCACTCCAGAGTCCTAGGCATCCAGGTTTCTGCTCAGTGATGGACCAATCTCTGCTATGCTCACTATGACATGCAGCAGAGCAGCAGGACTAAGTCTAGGACACCGGGAGGCTCCAGGGCCACAAAAGGGCCCAGCAGCATAGAACCTGAGAAGAGTTTTCACTTGTCTGTGATTCCGACAGAGACTCTAGGGAATAACGTACGAAAAGAACGAGGCACCTCGACGTTTCTGGAACATCACTGTGCTGGTGATGTTGGCCCAGACTGGCAGTGCTTATCCTTCCCCGTTCCTCCTGGGGACACGCAGGGGACATCTGGCTTTACCTGTCCTAAAAAAACACCCCAGGGCTGTGCCGGGACGCAGGAGCCGCGCCGCCAGAACCCTCAGAACGAAAATGACGGAGAGGGAGCTTCCCTAAGAGGCGTAAAGCACAATATTCACAAACGTGGGCGCCCGTGACTAGTCAGCAGTGCTGGAGACAATCAGATGTCGGACGTCGGGATATTTGATTTCTCCAGAATTCTCCCAGGCTCAGCTCGGGTGTCATCGCGAGGCACCCACGCGCCCGCAACGGGTCCTCGGGGAGTAAGGCAAGGGTTAAACGCCGTAGCCGGCAATTCCGCAGCGGACTCCTGCGGGGGAACCAAAGCGCGCGAACGCGGGCGCGCAGTCGGTCGGTCCGTCCTGGCCTCTCCCACTTCCGGCCCAAGCGCGCGGCGCTATGACGTCAGCACGCCGCGCCGCCTGTGCGTCATCGCGGCGCGCCGCCGCCTGGCTCTTGACGCTAGCCCACTATGGCGGAGGCGGGCCGAGTCGCCGTTCGTGACCCGGGTGCGCTGCTCCCGGACGGCTTCTGGGCGGCGGTGGCCGTGTGGCTGGAGAGGCCGCAGGTGGCCAACAAGCGACTGTGTGGTGCCCGCCTAGAGGCCCGGCGGAGCGCCGCCCTGCCCCGGACCGGGGCCCGCGGCCCCAGGCAGAGTACAGGCCCGGAGCGGGAGGAGCGGGCCACGGAGGGACACGGGCCCGAGGAGGGACGGCTACTCGGTCAGCGTCCCCCCGAGGCCGGCCCGGGCCCCAGGTCGAGCGCAGGCCTCGAGGAGTCCCAGGGCCGGCGCCACAAAGGGGAGGACGAGAGGGAAGCAGCCGCAGCGCCTCTGCTCGCAGGGGCCCCCGGACGGCCTGGCGAGGCAGGAGTCGGGGAGGGCGACTTGCCAGCCTGGGATCTGGATTCTCTCTGGGACGACTTCTCCCGAAGCCTCGGCGGCGGCAGTCAGGATATGCTGGCCTTCCTTACAGGCTCTGGGGCGGGATCGCAGTCAGAGGCTCAGCACCAGCTCGATGTGGTTCTCAGAACCGTCATCCCGAAAAGGAACCCGCTTTCTGCTCTGAGGAGAGAAATAGTCGTGCAAGGTAAGAGTATTTCTGATGGCGGGAGGTGTCAAAGGTGACCGAAGCCAGCTGCTAAAGTGTCAAGGATGGACTTTAGTCATGCAGATTTGTATTAAGTGGGAGAGGAGTCCAAGGTGAGTTGAACTCCTTCCATTTGCGCAGAGTCCACACGCGTCAAAGGGAGATTGAGGAAATGGGGGAGGGGCTCAGCAGTCAGGGAGTGAAAGGTACAAAAGCAGGAAGGGGGGTTGGGCCATGTGACACCACCTGGGCTAAATAAGAGTGCTTATGGAGGTCAGGCGCCTCCCCCCCAGAGAAGGAGATGGCCCCCATCTTCAGGTGTGGCCTGGAGCAGTCAGTTCTTTTGGCAGCCTTGAGCTCTGTCAGGCAGGCACTTTAAGGGGGCTTGGGTCATCCCAGGGGTGTGGCCTTGAGGCATTGGGAACCCTGTTAGCGTTTGTTCCGGTGTTTGGGGGCCAAGCGGAGGCCGAGTGGAGAACGGCTCAGAGGAGGACGGTCTGACTCGGCTCAAGAAGGTTCTCTCAGAGGTCGCAGTTAGGCCAAGACGCATGCGTCGGGCCTCTGTCGGTGAAAGGGTCCTGAAAGTACCGACTATGGCAAGTCTTCCGCAACACCCTAGGGAGGTCGTAGGCTTTTCGTTGTTTCCTGAGGGAAGTGTAGCAATGTGTGTCCTTACTGTGGCGGACGGGGTCGTCGCTTGGGACTGTATCTGTAAGGCTCGAGGTGAAGACGCTTTGGGTGTTGAATGCTAGACAGGAGTTGAACAGGTAAAGAGATGGTGGAAAGGTCCCCTCCCAGAGGAGCCCGTGGAGGCCTCCCTCTTCCTCGGCCCGCGGGCCAGCCCTGACCTTTCTCGTGCCTGGGAGCTGACTCCTCTTCCACCTGCAGTTGGGGCGGGTCCTTCGCTGCCCCGGCCCCTGCGACAGGGTGGAGCCCACCTGCCCAGTTCCTAGCGCTCTCCCCGCTTCTGAGTTCCAGAACCTTCACTTCTGCTCAGCCCCTTTTTGCTGTGGAACACGATGCGGTCACAGGTTGGGGTAATGGGGCCTGGACACCGTCAGGGGCTGTTCTGTCTACACAGGCAGCGATGCTGAATTGCTGAGGGGTGCCTGACCCCCATACTGCGCGCCCCTGTGAGGCCCCCGGGTGCCCCTCCTCCAAGCCTCTCCGACCCTGTTGCACCCATGTGAATGTAGGGCGTCTTTCTGTCCACCGTGTTCTGATCGGCTTTTACCTTCTGCCTCCGCTAGACTGAGAGGGATGGTGAATCAGTGCCCACGAGGCCTGCAGGGGGAAGCGCCTGCGTCCTCAGGCGGGCTTCGCCGCGGAGGACAGGTGGGCAGACTTCTCTTAGTGAGGCGGGGCTGCTGTCCATCAGGAGCGCCTCTGCTGAGCGTGCCTGCCGTGTGCCCAGCAGATGTGGGCTCGTGTAGGCTCGGGCAGGCTCCAGTGCAGCCGTGAGGAGGACGGGCCAGCCTGTCCCACCCCCTGTGCACTGTTGTAAATGGGGCGGGGAGCCCTGGGGGGTTGGGGGTGCAGCACCTGAGCCGTTACTGCTGTCAGTACCGCCTCTGGCTTAAGCAGCTTTGATTTATTGTCCTTACTTTTTCCCCCCAGATGTCCATAATGGAACCGTAACTTTTTTACCTTTGGAGGAAGATGACAAAGGGAATGTAAGCGTTCAGCTGAGCAACGTGTATCAGATTCAGCTCCGTCACAGCGAAGAACAGTGGTAAGAACTAGGAGCCTGACTCCTCCGTTTACGGTGTCAGTTGATTTCTTCAGCTGCGAAGTTCCAGGTCACTGAAACGCTAACGGGGCTCCCTCTCCGCCAGTTAGGGTTGTGGGACTCTGCCTCCTAGTTGGCGTGTCCATGACGTTGTTCCTGCTGGTGCCTGGCCTACGTTACTTGTCACAGCCTGGCTGGAGGCTTTAGTCTCTACATTCCGTGTAGCTTTGATGGTTGAATTCAAATAAACTGAAATCCCTTTATTATTGTGTTATGTCTTACAACTTGGTAATGGGGAGTAAGTGGAAGCTTTTTTATGTCCTGCTGAGGCTGTGGTTTTGGACATGGTGGCTGTTTGGCAATGCTTATTATGATAGTAGCCGTTTAATAGCCTCCCTTAGTGCCGTGTGGTGTTTGAGCCTGTACAGAAGATGTGAAATCTGGTTTACTTCCATTTGTTATTTTTCAAACGAAAGGGTCAGAGGAAGGGTAAATTCACTGGTTACTCTTCCGCTGCTGTTTTCCCGAGAGCCACTTCTGGTCTGTATTTCCGGAACAGCCTTGGGGAATGCACCTGTTTAATCAGAACGGGCATGGAAGGCAGAGGGCACAGCAGGAAGAACTTCGTTTGGGGTTGGGCAGACCTGGGCCTCCCCACTGGCGGCGTGACTGTGACCCTGAGTGCGCAGCCTCCGTGGCCCTCGGTCTTCACCCCTGTGAAAAGGGTTTGATAACGAGCCTCTGAAGGGGGTGCTGGGCTGGGCTTCCAGGGGCTGTTGCAGGCTCAGAAGCCTCATGGGAAGACAGCCGTGACCCAGGTGAAGCCTCTTGAAATTGTCAAGAGGTTGCCCAAGGGACCTGGTCCCAAGGCCCTTGTCTCAGCGTGCTCCTGTCAGGAGGCGGGGCGTCAGAGCAGGCCCTGTGGGGCAAGCCGTGGTGGCCTGCGGTGGCCCCTCGGGGGCAGCATGTTCCGCGCCATGGGTGAGCTTGGCAGCCATGCTTGGGTGTGAGGAGAAGCTCCCAGCCAGGCTGCAGCCGGCGCTCAGGACAGCGACACACTGGAATCGCGCTCCCTGCTCTTTGGCGAGTTACTGACTGCTGGCGCATGCCGGCGGCTCCCCAGCTTTCCAGGTCGGCATTTCCGGTCGTTGCCCCTGGGCAAGCCGTCACGTTACTTTGAGCACTGGTCACACTTCGGGGGCCAGACTTGTCGCCTCCTCAGTGAAGCACACATTAACTGGGGTACGCACTCCTTACCAGCCCTTGTCCCAGGGGTGTTTGTTACATGCCACCGTGTGCAGCGCCCTGGGGTGCAGTGGGGAGCAGGTCTCATGGGGAGGCAGGTAAACATATGCTCTGAGACCAGGTAGGGCTAAGTACCATAAAAAGAAAGCAAAGAGGTAAAATGGGTCTATTTTCATACCCCTCGTTAGCAAAGGCAGTGCCATGCCAGCGTATGTGGGGTGCGTGGGGAGGGCCTCTGAGGCCGTGACAACCGAAGAGGCCTGAGTGGATGAGGGAGTAGGTGTGGGGATCTCTGGGGGACACCTGGGCAAAGCGAGAGGCCCACTGAGGCCTTCCGAGGTGACCGGGTGGGGAAGGGGCGCGCTTGGCATCCTCCCAGGCCCTTCCCGCATGGTGACGGCCCAGGTGCGTCTCTCCACAGAGAATCAGGGCCTTAATCTTGTGAGTTGTGATGCTCGGATGCACGTGGGGACAAAAGCCCTGACAGTTGCCCGACCTTGCCCGCGTCCCCCGTGCCTGTCTCCAGCTCTGCCCCTCGTGCAGCTGCCTGTGCCGCTGCTCGTTCTCGGGCCCCCATTGAACGCCTCCCCTTTTTGTACTCAGCAGATTTGATGCTCTCCCTCATGGCACCGCCCGGACTGCAGCCTGGGAGAGCGTACTGTCGTGATCTGGGCCTGCGGTCGGGAGCACCTGCCGGGGACCCAGCACTGCTGGGAGCCGGGCAGAGCCGCGAGTGGCACAGGCAGAGCTGTGGCCTTCCCACATGCTGGTGGCAGAAGACATACAGGCAAAACGAACCCGCAGACTGCACAGGGCCTGCGTGTGTGTCCTTAGCTTTGTGACTGAGCACTCAACTTTCTGTCCAGCAAATAACTGGGGGACCTAAATTCACATTTGAGTTGCACATGTGAAAAGTTAGACAGGACAGAAATGTTAGGAAAATCCATAGACGCTTTGGAACCTCGCTAATTAGTGGGCAAGGCAGCAGGTCAGAGGAACTTTGTTATTTACCGTCTGTCCTGATGGGCTTCACAGGATGTGTAATGCATTTTTAACAACGTTTGCAAAGAGAAGAGGAATTTTTTTCTGTCTTTTAAATGTGTTTTTCTCTATTAGATGAAAATTCTGTAACTAGTTCCAAATTGTTTTGTGTTTGGGGTAAAATATTTTGTAATTGTAGCCGTCTTAAGTTCTCTTCTTTTGGTAGAGAAATGTGTAATTTCAAAATAAGAATTGGAACCAGCTCTGCTTATTCATGTTTCTCTTATTTTTAAAGGTTCATATCTGTTTTAATTTTCTGTCCAGAAAGATGGCATTCAGATGGAATTGTTTATCCCAAACTCACCTGGCTTGGAGAAGAGCTGCTGGCCAAGCTGGCCAGGTGGGCTGTGGAGAGCAGGAAGAGCGAGTTTAAACGCACCCTGTCCCTCGTTTCCATTGTGAAGTACAGCCAGGTTTACCAGGAGCTGAAAGACAAATACAAGGACATGGTCAAGGTAATTCTGGGGAAGACAGCTGGGGTTCCTCCACACTTGAATGCGGTCATGTGACCCGACTGCACCAGGTACAATTGTTTTTCCAGCGTCCTGCAGGTGCGGACGTTAAGTCAGAGTGTACTCACTCAATTTTAAGTCAGTGAACCCGTTTCAGGTCACTTGTTGCAGCCGTGCTATGACACGCATGGGGTGCATACCACAGAAGTGCTGGCAGGCGTGGTATGGAAAACTCACTTTTTTCACACGTAATGTTTTATTTTCAAGAGAGCAAAAGGGAAATGTTTACTCTAAAATAATTGAACATTAATTACTAAATTACTGTAATTTTTTGGTATGAAAATCTATAAAAACTACAGCACAAAGAAACATACTTGCAAAAAGGAGATAAACTTTATACCACGTTCTTTGTGTTTAAGACGTGAAGCGGCGATGACACACCCGGCTTAGGCGAAGCGCGGTTAGTGTAGCGGAACCTTCGTTCTCTTCCCGGGTCACAGCTCCCCGCCTCCTCCCGGAAGTAACCGGGACTCGCCATGTCCGCGTAGTTCATCAGTCACCTCTTGCTGTGTAACAGAGCACCCTGGAAGTCACAGGCTTGAAACGGCAGCCGTTCGTCCCTGCTGCAACGTGCATGGGTCCCGGGCTGGCCGGCCTGGGCCCCCTTCTCCCCCAGATTCTGGCCTAGTTGTTCTGCGTTATCTTGTCAGCTCTTCAGTCCTTCGAGAAGGGACTTTTGTATTCTTCCAGCTTTTAAACTTGTCCTTAGTGAGATGGTTCATCCGAACTGTCTAATCCCTGGAAACAGACATCTGAGCATTTGACAGCGGCCGCTGATAGGTCAGCATTTATCACATCCGTGACTCGAACGTGCGACAGCGGCCTCTGATAAGTCAGCATTATCACATCCGTGACTCGAGCGCGCGACAGCGGCCGCTGATAAGTCAGCATTATCACATCCGTGACTCAAGTGCGCGACAGTGGCCGCTGATAAGTCAGCATTATCACATCCGTGACACGAGCGCGCGACAGTGGCCGCTGATAAGTCAGCATTATCACATCCGTGACACGAGCGCGCGACAGCGGCTGCTGATAAGTCAGCATTATCACATCCGTGAGTCGAGCGCGTGACAGCGGCCGCTGGTAAGTCAGCATTATCACATCCGAGACTCGAGCGTGCGACAGCGGCCTCTGATAAGTCAGCATTATCACATCCGTGACTCGAGCGTGCGACAGCGGCCACTGGGTGTTCTCCGCCTCGTGCGCATTGCTGGTTGAGGCAGCGAGACCTCACTCTGCAGCCGGCATCCTGCTGCTTTCGGGGCACCCGGCGGGCATCTGGTCCGGTAGTTAAAGCTTCATCCCTGCTTAACACACAGGGAGGCAGGAACAGGACAGCTGAGCGGTGACTCCCGAAGCGTGACAGCCAGTCAGTCACCGACAGACCACAGCACTGGAGCACTGGCCTCCTGACCCCTGTCCCTTTGCTCCCTCCCCCCTCGTTTCTTTGTTCACTGTCCGTCTAGATAAGTGAGCAGGATGGTGTAGCCGAATGTTCTGTGGTGTCCAGTTATCTCACCTAAGTATCCTACAGACACTGTCTTTATTGCAAAATCCTGCCTTGGTCTGCATCGCTCTTGATGAGTCCTAAATCACACAGGCTAAAAGTTTCGTGCATTTCTGCCTTTGAAACGAGCTTATTTATTTTTTTTATTTTATTGCATAATTAGTCCAGTTTCACTTATGCCTTACGGCGATGCTTTATTGTAAACTTGTGGGGAAACGGGCGAACAATTTACACGTGCTCGCGAATGTTTTTCAGGTGTGGCCTGAAGTGACCGATCCTGAGAAGTTTGTGTATGAAGATGTAGCTATTGCCTCCTACCTGCTGGTAAGAACGTATGTAATCTGCGCTTAGTGCAGTGGGGCAGGTGCTGCTACCTGTGGTCAACATTTATCAGATCCGTGACTTGGGGAGTTTGTACTTCAGTTCGCCAGGGTTGGCCACACAAGTAACGGTTTCTGTTAGCTTTGCGTGGTGCCATTGCATGAGAGTCAAACTGGTGTGAATTGTGAAACTTGAGGCGGGAATTCAGGCTGAACAGTACTCTCCTAATTGCTAGCCAGGGTGGCGATGCTGGCTGGTCACCGGGAGCGCCGGTGGGAGCCCACCTGACGGGCACACGCCTTCCGGTCCTGGCGTTCCGGCCTGCGGGCTCTAGGTCTTTCCAGAGCTGGCTTGCTGGCCGCCCCGTTGGGACATGGCCTTTGGCTCGGCAGCCCCGATCTTCTCATCTGCGAGGTGTTCGGGCATTTCGAGTGGTTCTCTCCGTCTCGTGTTTAGAAATAGCGTAGTTTTGTTTTATCAGTGTGTACCAAACTCAAAGAATATAAAGTACGAAGAAACTAACAACCTCTAAAGCTCTTGCTCAGAGGCGACCACTTAACGTGGCATCTCGAGGGAAGAAGAAAGCTTCGTAGCCCCGCACAGCATCGGGCAAGAGCTGCGGGCCGCGTCCGGCTGCCCTCTGCTCGCCGGGCATCACCTGGGGGGAGTCGGGGCCTCGGCCTCCGTCCTTTCTGACCGGGCGAGTTAGAGTCCTGCGTGGGGCTTGTGCCTGAGTTATCCTGGGCTAGAGCGAGTTACGAACCGACTGTTTTCTTGTGTTTCTAGGTTTTATGGGAAGAAGAGCGAGCCGAGCGGGGAGTGACAGCCAAGCAGTCCTTCGTGGACTTGGGGTGCGGAAACGGTCTGCTGGTGCACATCCTGAGCAGCGAGGGGGTAAAGCATGGTTCCTGGCCCTTTCTCGAGTGTCTTCAGGGCCAGCACAAGGCCCACTGGGATCCTTTCCTGCTGGTTCGGTCTGGGTTCAGACAGCCTGGCTGTCGGAATAGCGACTAGTTGTGGCGGCTTGTGAAACAGGAAAAGACAGCAGCCTTTGTGAAGTAGACACGGCCGCCCTGTGAGAGCTAGCGGGGTGGTCACCGCATCCTGCGGGGAGTGACCGTAGAGACGAGGCTCGTCTGGGATGGCGAGCTGGAGGAGCCGCCCGCGATCAGACCTGACTGGCAGCCGAGGGAGCCGGCTCCCTTTGCGGGCGTTTCCTGAGCTCCGGCCCTGGCCCGTCTCCCCGATCACTCGCGATGGCCGTGATCCCAGTGCGGGTCTTGCCTGTGCCCATGTTAAACAGCCAAGAAGCTGCGCCGTGCCACCCGCGGGTGCCAGGGGTCTCCTGCTCCACGCTGGCCGTGGGACCTGCGGAGTTTAATTTGTCCTTGCTAATTTAATACGAGGTCCTGAACTTAACTTTTGTTTTCTGAAATTATTTCAGCATCCAGGCAGAGGGATCGATGTCCGACGAAGAAAAATCTGGGACATGTATGGGCCGCAGACTCGCTTAGAGGTACTGGCTTTGTTCATGCACCTGATCTCGGCATGGTTGTTCCTCGGGACCCTGATGCGAATGAGTGGTTTCTGTGGATAGGCCGGTCACAGATGCTGACCATGACAACTCAGGGCAACTTAAGTAATCTGAAATTCAGGAAAAGGACGGACTTTAGACTTCTCAAAGCTTGCTGGTCGAGCGGAAGACGGGGCTGCCCTCTGGAGCCGGAAGCGCCATCCCCTCCCTCGGCCCTGCCTCATGGTTTGCATCTTCTGTGGGCGCCCGGCGCTGTGTGGGGGGTGCCGGGCAGGTCGGTGAGGAGTCGGGGGAGGGAGGCTGGAAGGAAGCCAGGTCACGAGTGTGCAGACGGCGTGGGGGGCAGCGCGCCTGCCCTAGGCCGTCTAGTGAGTAGCCTGGTCTCAGCCCACGACCGCGGCTAAAGTGGGCCAAGTCACTCCCGCCTGTCCCGGTCCCCGTCACAGAGGGATGTCCCCCTGGAGGGGAGGCGGTGACCGGGCACCTCGTCGGCAGCGCTCCCGCAGTGGGGCTGCCATCTGCTGTTTAAGGGTGCTGGTCTCTGGTCGAGGCCTCCACGCCAGCCAGGGAGCGCTCAGTGGTGGGGTCCGCGCACTGAGCTCTGGGGTGCTGCGGGCACAGCTGTCCGTCCCGCCACCCAGCCCTGCTGCTCAGCTACCCGCTTTGTCTCAAGACCCTCGTCCTGGAGTTCAGGTGCATGGGCGAGACAGGGACACGGTTCCCATCCGCCAGGGGGCGGAATGCTGACGAGAAATGAGAATATTTACTTTTCACTGTGGGTGAAGAATGTTCAGGCTCAGTCATGTGACACACAATGACGTTTTAGTCAGAGAGGGACCCCCCGTACCTCCTGTATGTCTGTGGTCCCGTATGATTACAGTGGAGCCGAAACATGCCTGTGGCCTAGTGACATTGCAGCTATTGTAACGTAGCACAGCACGTGACTTGCACGTTTGTGGTGACGCTGGTGTAGACAAGCCTGCTGCAGCATCAGTCACATAAAAGGACTGGGTACTGCCCTGTCCGGTGCACAGAGCTTGGTGGCGGTGGCCGCCGTGCTCCTGGTGCGTGCGTTCACTAGGTGTCACTCTTCGTCACCGCTGCAGAGCGCACTCATGTCTGCAGTGGCCTCGACATCTCGTGGTTACTGCGTCTCAATTGTACCACATTCTCTCGTGCTTGAGTCAATGTCATGTTTTGTGCAGTGACCGCTGTCCAGGCTTGTAGTCCAGGGGTGACAGGCTGCCCCATGCAGCCTGGGAGTGCAGTGGGCTAGACCCTCCGGGTGCATGGAGGTCACTGTGCGATGTTTGCAGGACGACAGTCGCCTAGTGAGCGTTGAGAGCATGTCCCCTTCGTCCCACGGTGCCTGACTATGAACGTGGGGAGAAGCACGCAGGGACCCCAGAACCCCCTCAGCCGGCTTCGGCCGTCATCCCCCATCTCAGCCCCGACGTCAGCCCCACTGCTATTTGGAAACAGCTCTCAGGCCTGTCATTTCATCCGTAAATGAGAAATTAAACGCTCAAGACCGTTTTCGTCTTTTCTCTGCCTCGCTCTCTCTCACAGTCGAGGACGTTGCAAACATTAAGAACATGGAGGGGAGTTCGTGCACTGCCCTTCAGCTGTTTGCTTATTTTTCACTGCGTGTTTACGCTGTTTTGTGCTGCAGGGGTTTGCATTTGCTTGTGTGTTTATTACAGTAAAGTGAAACACGTAGAAGCTCCAGGTCTGCGGAGTGCGGGTGACCCAGACGCCATGCGGGCGGCTGCAGGTACGCGCAGGGCGTGCGCACTCGGTCGGGGCGGTTGGCTCTGCTTTGGGCGTGAGGCGTCCGGGCCAAGCTAAAGGAGCAACACGTTTGAATTCAAAGCCTCACGTCCACCAGTGACAAAGCAAAATGATGTCTTTGGGTGGGAGATTCCAGTGGCAGCCAGGTGGGCCCTCTGTTCAGCTGTGCCCCCAGGGAAAAGCCGGCTGGCGTGAGGACCCTTGGAGAAGGGGTAGAAGGCTCCGGTCCTGTACGTGAGGCCCAGCAACCTGCCTCAGACTTCTCTGTGGCGTGGGGGACGTTCCCCGACACTCGGCCAGGGCCGCCCTAAGAGGCGTCCTGGGTTCTAGCCTCGCGGGCTTGTTTTCTCGTCACCCCGAACTTCTGTCTTCGTGCTGGGAGAACCCTGCTCACCCTAATGTCACTGAGGGGGATGCTGGCCGTCTCTCTGTGCCGCCTCTGCTCCAGAGCATGTGCTCAGACACGAGCTCGGCGTGTGTGTGTGGCCTAGCGATGGGTCCCTGTGTGAACGGGCGCAGCTGGGACCTCGCAGGCCCAGTGGGGCCGCAGCTCCGGTCTCTTTCAGAAGCCTCGTTTGGTTATATAAGCAGGAAGCCGTTATTTTTAGTAACGGCATGGTGAGGATCACAGTCTTGGTTGTGTTTGTGGAGCTGTCTGGGAAACAGGACTGTGGCAGTTTGCCCCGCTCACACCGTCTGCTGGGACGTCTCATTAAGTGAGGGGGCCCTGGCCGGCTGTCGGCAAGGTAACTAAGTGCTACCATTGCCGCAGAGGGCAAGCGATGTTTTTTGTTAGTGCAGGCCATGTAGAGAAACAAATAGGCAAATTTAAATCTAGAAAGGGCAGGAATAAAGAATAAATATCGAAGACTTGTTTTCCTGCTTTTAAATGACGTACGTGCCAGTTGAGCAATACTTTCAGCGTTTTAACGTATGTATGAATCGAAGCACTCACACTTGTTGAAGAAGCAGAAAGATTGTAGAATTTACATTCTGTTTTTATGGACATCACGTCTGCACGACTCGTCCTGAAGTTTTGTCGTGAGGAATGGCCTGGGCAAGTGACCATTGTCGTCATGCTTTCCTGTTCTGATCACGGAGTGACCCGGCGTCTTACTCCCTGGGGGGGCTATTCTTCCACTTTAAAATTGGAGGATTTTGAGTAGTTACAGTCTCTCTTCTCTCTTCCCAGTTTTGACGGGCAGGTTCACCGTTGAGACTACTGATTTCAGTAATTAATGAAGACCTGTTATTTAGCAGGAAGTATAGAGCATTTGACGCTTAGCTTCAGAAATCATCACAGAGGTCAGCGCGCCCGTCTGGTGGGCTTTTGCCAAAGTTAATGGCACAATAGCAAAGAGCCACGCTCTCCTCTGTCACCTCCCACTGCGCTCGACCCTTCGCAGATGGAGACAGAAGGGCTCCGAGGTCGCAGGAGCGCGTTCTGTCAGACAGAGTCGGCTTCAGCCCCCGCTGCTCGCCACTGCCCACTTAGGGCCGTTGCTTCTCCCCACATTCTGCTAAGGACTAAGCGGTTCACATGTCCCCTCTCTTCCAGCGTCTGTTTGTTTTTGTACTGAAGCGCATTTTTAATTTTAATTTTCAAAAGGAGATTAACCCTCAGAAAAGTGTTGTTTATCTAGTGAAGACTAGAGTTGCCGGCGTTTCCTGTCCTGGGGCAGACACACTCACCTCCTCACCCCTAGTCCTGGCGTCAGCATGTACACAGGAAGCCCAGAGGGGCCGAGAGCCTGCTGGAACCTCTGGCCTCTGTCTCCGTGGCTGGCTGGCTGCCCCAGCGGCTCTGCATTTATCTAGTAAACACTTAGTCTTATTTTTGTTTTTTTTTAGGAAGTTGCTATCACACCCAACGATAGGACCCTCTTCCCGGACGTTGATTGGCTAATCGGTAACCATTCCGATGAACTAACACCATGGATACCTGTCATTGCAGCCAGGTGAGTGAGTAGACAGGTTGGCAGAGTGAATAGCTGGGGACATTTCGTTGCCTGCAGCTTGCTGTCCAGAACGGGGGCCACTAGCCACAGGCGGCGACTGAGCACTGGAAATACAACTAGTTCAAATCGTCGAAATGATAATATATTGGGTTATATTTAAAATAAATTCCACCTGTCTTTCTATTTTAAATATGGGCACTAGAAAATATAAAATTACATACGTGGTTCATGTTATATTTCTCTTGGACAAGGCCAATCAAAACTGATTGTTTCGATAGTGTATCCAGGTTTGAAAAGCATGTCGTACAGGTTTTTTTAGATAACAGGAAGGTGCTTTGCGGCAGCTTCTTCTGGACGGGCGGGGACTTCATCGAAGCGCGGGTCGTGCACTGCCCGGAACGCTTTGTGCCCCAGTCTCCCTTACCCAGGGATCTTGTGGACGGTTCGGGCTCCTGAGGCATTCCGTAGGTCAAGGACAAAACCTTCTCTGCCTTACTCAGCTACCTCTGAAATTCCTGATATATAGCTGAAGTCTCGGTTCACTTCAGAAAGTTTTAGATTGTAGCTGAGAAGAATAACTGCAACGCAAAAATGTTTTTTACAAAAGTAATTAGAATCATATTTTGTCGAAAAGCTATGCTGAGCTATGTTGTTTGTAGAGACGGCCGGAGGCTGTGATTCGTTCTGTCGTTTAAACTACGAGTCGGCAGCGGACGCTTATATTTTACCCAGATACAGCACGGCCACGTGGTTTTCTGCTGAACTTGCTTTAACAAATCCATTTGAGACTTCTGGTTTCCGTGCTTGTTGGTTCTTTTTGAAGGTCTTCCTACAGCTGCCGTTTCTTCGTCCTGCCCTGCTGCTTCTTCGACTTCGTGGGAAAACACTGCCGGAGGCAGAGCGGGAAGACTCAGTACCGGGGGTACCTGGACTTCATCAGCGAAGTGGGCCGGGCCTGCGGGTTCCGCGTGGAGGAGGACTGCCTGCGCATCCCTTCCACCAGGCGGGTGCGTCCCGCCCCAGCGCTCTCGGGGGGCGGGCGGGCACCTGGGTGGGAGGCAGCGGGCCACGTCGCAGTCACGGACGACACCAGCGCATGACAGTGCGTGCGTTGCAGACGGCGCCTGTGCCGGTTTCGACCTCTGCCGTTGGGGTTCAGAGGGCGTCTCTCTGTACGGCCCCCTCCCTGGAGACGTTCATCGCTTCCTTCTCCGGGCGGCTTTGCAGGAACCTTCAAGTCCTCACTTGCTTTCTAGAGACAGCGTGGCCCCGGGGACTTCCCCAGAGGTGTGTCGGCCTGACTTGTGGGAGTTTCTGAACCCAGTTTCTCTGAGGCTGACTGCGCCTAGTTCTGTCTCCTTAGATACGCAAATGGCCGAAATTAAGGGCTGTTTCAGAAGTTCACAACGATTACAGGTTTTTTATGAAAAGCTAAAAAAATATGAAAAGCTTATGTGACACGTCAGTGGTCCGGGCAGAAGTCACCCTTGCGCCCTCTCTGCCTGCCACGTGGCTGGGCCGCACGCTGGCATCAGGCCCATCGCTGCTGTTGGTGCCAGCGCCACCCGGTCACTGCAGAGGCCCTTTAGGGCTCATCCTCGGAGCCTTCGTGCCGTCCCTTACACGCCCGCCCTTTTGGCAGGTCACAGTGTACTCCCGTTTGGGTTGTGAGGGTGGGCGCAGAGACCCCTCAGTGTGGCGTTGGCCTTGCTTGTTCCGCTGCTCTCTGTGGAAGCTGCGGGCGATCCCTAATCTCCCTGGGCCCCCGCTTTCTCAGAACATGACGGTTTGGGGGTCAGATGTCAGAGTTGGTGTCCACACATGGCGGACTGGCTTCATGCTAGGCATGCTCGTTCCCCATTCAGAGAAGTCACCTGCCTGTGGTCACACATTATGGGTGGCAGAGCTGGAGCGTTGCAAGAGGTAGCTCATGTAACCAGATTCGCTTTGGTCGCCTGTAACCTGGCTTTGCAGTTCGTGCCCCGGGGGACATATGGAGGCGCTGTGCTCACGGCAGCAGCCCTGGCCAGGGCCTGGCTCCCCGGGGCTCCCCGAGAGCAGCCTTCTCTGGATGCAGGACGCACGGAGCAGGGAGGGGACGGCACGGATGAACGTCCACGCTGTGCCGAGCGCCGCCGGGTCCTCACGCCGGCTCGGGCGAGGCTGAGAGACGTCACGTTCTGTTGCGCCCCGTCGAGAGCTCCTAGGCGAGCCTCGGGGCCTCCGTGGGGCAGAGGAGGGGGCGGATGAGGGCCGAGGGCCGCGAAGTGGCGGGAACAGGGCAGCGCGCACGCTCACTAAGTGGATCTCGATTTGTGCGCGTTCGTTCTGCCCTGAAGTCTGGGCGGTGAGCAGTTTTGTGGGCTTTTGCCACCGTTCAGCGTGGGGTCATCGGTACTGGGGTTGGTTTTTAGAGTGAGGGCTCTCACGACAGGCGGCTGACGCTTTTATGTAGCGTGTGCGCCAGAACAGACGCGTGGAGGCCGCTGAAGCCCTGGGGGAGCCTGACCCTGCTCTCTCCGCGCAGGTTTGCCTCCTCGGCAAGTCCAGGACGTACCCACCCGCCGGAGAGGCCTCCGTGGACGCGCAGAGGACCCGGTACATTAACAGCCGGCAGGGCCGCGCTGCCAGCCGCCCGAGCTGTCCGGATGAGGGGCCTGCCCCTCCTCCACGCGGCAGCACGGATCAGCCCGGCAGTCACCCCGGTGGCTGCCCCGACAGCCGCCCCGACAGCCAGGGAGCCCCGGACGCCGGGGCTGACGGGCGGTGGCTGTCTGGATTCCGCCCTAGAGAGAAAGCTGAGCGCGGGAGGAACTGTGCCGCCCTCCCGCGGGAGTTCGTGGACGGAGTGGTTGTACAGGTGGCACAGCGGCTGCTGGGTGGGAAGCGCCTCGACACAGGCGGCTCTCGCAGCGGGACCGTGGGGACCTGGAACCGAGGAGGTAACGTCTGCACCGCCCCCCGGGCCTGCGGGGCCTGGGTGGTTTTACACGAATTTTAAAGAGGATGATAACAGATGGGAGACTTCCAGGCTCCTCGTTTCCTTAGAAGTCCTGTTGACGTGCGGGCCTCCGGCTGCCTCCGAGTTGGCCAAGGGCAGGGTGCTAACCTTGGGCTTGGGCCCTTAACCTTGACGTTCAGGTCTCAGACCTGCACCTACTCGTTTCAGTCTGCAGAAATTATCCAAACAGAAAACAGGGTACGGGCTGCCAGAAAGATGCACCGTCTCCTGGAATTCTGTGAAGTCCCCAAAATGCCAAAGCAGTCGTGAGAAAAGGAGGTCATTGTGTCTGCTCACTTTCAGAGGAGGGGCGATGTGCCAGGCCAGGAGTGGGAGAGGCGGAGTCTGAGCCTTGAGGCTTTTACGGAGCCTGCACCCGGGTTGGATAGAGCTCCCCCAGGGCTGCTGGGTGAGGACCTGGTGTCCATCCTGCTCCACTTCCTGGCAGGGCGGTGGCCGGCCGCCAGGGGGCGCTGTGGAGCTGTCCGTGTTTGGGCCGAGCCAGAGCCTGGCCTCTTGAGTTTCTGGGTCTCTGGAGGGGATGGAGGACCGTCCCTCAGCCTGTCAGGGACCGCGCCCGGCTGCCCTGTGGCAGGACGTCTGGGAACAGGTCACAGTGATCCTTTGCCAGCCTTCCTCGCCCGTGAGTGTTGTGCTCAAGTTTCTACTGTCGTCATTTCGTCCCCTCCCTCTTGGGTCCTTGTGACATGGCAGCGCCTTCGAGCATGTCCCCCTTCAGGAGTCACCCGACCCTGTTAGTGTGTGACCAGAAGAACCCCCAGGGACCCAGGGAAGTTCTGGCAGGTGTGGCTCTGGCTTTGGGGGCTGACCATCTGCGACTGCAGACAGCCCTGAGGTGCCGTGGGTGTCCGTGGTGTTCTCGGCTGAGGCGGGCCAGGGTGCGAGGAAGGCAGGCTGGGTGGGGGGTCCTAGCAGGACCTCAGCACGGAGCCCGCAGCATGCGGGCGGGTCCAGAGTCCCAGAGGCCTTTGGGTGGATCTGAACACAAAGAGCTTGACCTTCCACCCCAGGGCAGCCCTTCCCTCTGCCAGGCCCCTTGGGAACGATCCAGCACGAGGGTCAGTCTGTGCCTCGGACGCCCCTGGCTCTTTCCCCCGACTCAGAGGTGGACAGTGGGCTCTGATCATCGTTTCTCAAGCCTGCACCCCATCCCACCCCTGGGGTTTGGAGACACCTGGGAGCCAGGGCGCTGTCCTTCCAGGTTGGCCTTGTTGGTCTGGGGCTGGTCCAAGGGTCTCAGGAGGAGCTGGCCCCTGCCCTGGCTGGGGGGTCAGGACACACATCGGGGCGAGTAAGAGCTAGCGGTGCGGACCCTCATGGTCACCAGGCAGCGTGTGAGAGGCGGAGTCGTGGAGCTCGTGGGGGCTGGAACCTGGGAGGGCGGGGAAGACTTTCTGGGCCAGTGTTTAATTTTTCCTTAGATTTCTCGTTTCAGAACTGGTTTAAGGCAGCTGAAAGGTGGACCTTGGAGGCCATCTGGGCTCTGACAGGTTGCGTTAAAGCCACCCGTCTAAGGGTACCCACCTGCACAGGCCTCCCAGGCTGGGCCACGCAGCTCTGCCAACCTTTGGTGTCTGGGGCACGGTTCCCCTCGGCTCGCCTGCGGCGGGGAGGGCCTGGCAGGTGGGAAGGTTTGGGCATCTCAGGTGGCGACGGCTCTGCCTGTGTAGCTTCAGCTGCTGTGGCGCGTAGCCGGAATTAAATGTTTGTGGTTCCTCCTGCTCACGTGCTCAGGGGTTGGGATTTCTAGAACTAGAACTTTCCTTGTGCCTATCGAACGGGTTTGTAATAGGCATTTTGTTGCTCGGGGGACCCCGTTTCAGCAGAGAGCCTTTCCTTGGCCGAAGTAGCGGGCGAGCTGGGCGGGGAGACGCTGCGGAGGCTGAAGCGGGAGTGCGGCGGCCTCCAGACGCTGCTCAGGAACAACCGGCAGGTGTTCGAAGGTGAGCGGACTGAACCTGTAAACGCTTTCTGAAGCCGGTGAGAGCACGCTCTGTGCGCCGCCCCACGCCCACCTCCTCCCACCCAGCCTCGGCACCTCCCGTCAGCCTTCAAGCCCCAGTCTGGCCCACGTGGCCGCCGTGTGTTTCCGTGGGGCTGTCCCCACCCCTAGGGCCACCTGTTTGCTCCCCTCCCCAGGGCCCTGGCTTCTCTGATGGCAGCCAAGTGCCGTCGCCCCGAAACCACCTTCTCGGCTGCCCCCACCCAGTCCTGCCTCCTCTGGGCCCTCAGGTCCCGCATGTGCTTCTGCATGCCACACAGCCTCCTGCACCTGTCACGTCAGCACCCCAGCTAGGCTGCGAGCTTCCTGTGGGCGACTTTCGCCCTGTGTTTTAGAGTCAGGAACACGTTTCTGCGTGGGAAGCTGTCTGACTTGGGAGCTGGCTGGAGGATGTTGGACGCAGGCCTGCCTAGGACCGGATACGGGATGTCGGGAGTGGGTGACAGCTGCACCGTGTCCTGGGGCATGGGGCAGCATGTCGACGTCCTGGCTGGCCACAGGGCTCCTGGCTGCTGTCATTCAGGGCTGCCCCGTCATTAGCGCCCACTCCCCAGGCCTTAGAAATCCCAAAGGGCCCCTTTTCCTGACCCTGTAGGAATTGCTCCAGAAGCGTGGCTAGGTGTCCTCTCACCGGTCAGGGGAGGCCCGCCACACGCCAGCCTGTCCTGATGTCTGGAGGGTGGGGTTCCTGCCCGGCTTGGGCCTCTGCGACCTCCCCCAGATGTCTCATGGCCCGTCCTGGCCATCACGGGCTCCTGGCCTTTTGGGGCCCACCCCGGGAATCTGGGAGCCTTCGAGGCACCTTCCTACGCACTTGAGAGTGTGTTGTTCTGTGCTGCACCCAGAGGTGCTGCTGTGGGGACACCTGGGGACACAGCAACGTCTCCTTGGCTCGCGCTTTCAGGCAGAGAAAGCCACGACACCCTTGGGAGACAGTGGGGAGACAGCACGCCGGCCAGAGGTGCCTCTTGGCCCCGAGAGGACGAACCTCCCGTTTGGCTGGCGTGGCTCCTGTCCGTTCCCCGGGGAGTCCTGGTCCGCGTCGGTGTGCAGGGACGGGCTGGGCGGGGTGGCGCTTCTGTTCACCGTCCAGTTAGGAGCCGCCCGGCCAGCTCTGCTCAGCGGGCCGCTGCTGCGTCTGCCCAGCCTCCTGTCTCAGCGTTTTGCAGCCTCCAGGCAGAACCCAGCCGGCTTGGTCGTGTTGGCTCCGTGTCACGTGTCGTTGGCTCTCGGGAAGACGGCCAAGTGCGAGCTCCGGGGGAGCCTCGGCTGAGTAGGGACGACCAGCTTAGGGGGCAGCTCCGAGGGGCCCTGATCAGCTGCCCGGGCCACAGCCCGTCCCTAGCCCTCTGGGGTCCTCCAGTACCTAGCTCTGACATCACCCTGGCCTCACAGGCCCCTCCCAACACCCACTGTCTCCTGCTCTGACCCCCCCCTGCCGGCGGGGCTGCTGGTCGCTCCTGCTGTTTGGGGGGCTCAGACTATGGGCATCCCCGCTGCCTGCTCCCTCGTCTTTGGAGGGGACCTGCGCCCAGCTCGCTCATTTTCTCTCTGTGACGTGGAGGCCTGGTCCTTGAGGACCGGCGTCACCATGCAGACAGTGTCCGACCTGCCTGAGTCTGGACCGCGTCGTGGCCCTCACACCGGCTGCCCTGGGTCGTCAGCCTGGCTTCCCACCAGCCACTCCACCCCATGGTCACACCTTGGGTCTTGCCATCACCAGGACCTAGACTTCAGGCTCAGGGCACTTCACCATCTCCCAGTGTCCAGCGCGCTCCTGAGAACTCCGGCCCCTCCCCCAGCCCTCCCGCACCCCCTGCTGGCCCTGCCCTGTTTGGGGTCCTGTCTCCCAGGCCTGTGCCTCCGTCACCACTCACCTGTAGGTGGGGCCTGCGAGCCTCAGCGGGGCGGGGGCTGCCATCCACTGCTTGAGATCTCGGCACCTTGTCCCACTGGGCACCGGCGGCCAGGGCTGGTGGGGACCCAGCCCGTGTCAGTGCACCCCACAGGTCCCGGTGCTCTGAAGGACTTGCAGGGCGATGAGCCGGCTGACCTGTCTCTTCTCCAAACCGCAGTTCTGAACGGGAGAGTGCGCATTCGCGACTGGAGGCAAGAGAAGCCACTGCAGGAAAAGCAGCTGGAAGCCAAGCGCAGAGCGTCCTCCGAGGCCTTCAAAACCCGCCTCTGCTGGTTCTTCGTGCACCACCCCGACGGCTGCGTGCTGCCCGCACACTGCTGCCCGTTCGCCCACGGGCCCGGGGAGCTGCGGCCACCGCCGCCCACCAGGAAGAAGCAGCAGCATCTGTGAGCCTTCTCCGCCCTGGCGCTGGACCCCGCGCTCCGTGCTGCTGTGTGCGGGCCCCTTTCCTGCTGCCTCCCTTCAGCTTTCCATGGGGACATGGCCGCGTCACAGGAGAAGCTCATGGGGACATGGCCGCGTCACAGGAGAAGCTCGTGGGGACATGGCCACGTCACACAGAAGAAGCTCAAGTCGCTCGTGCCTCGCCCTCTCCTGAGTCCTGGGTTGGTTTTGAATGTGCAGACTCTTAAGTATGTCCATCTTTTTGTCAGTGTGACAGTTCTTGACGTGTCCTAGTCCAGGGGGCAGGCAGTGCAGTCATCCCTGCCGCAGCTCACTGTGCGGGAGACCCGGCGGCCCTGGGGGCTCAGTCCCCCTCTTTCCTGCCCTTCCCCCCGCTGGAACTGGTCGTCATTTCCAGGAACAGAATCGCGTCTGTCTAAGGTCACTTCTGCAGCGTCACACAGGAGGCGCAGCGCAGGCGGCCGTGCGTCTCGTGGTCCTGCGGCAGGTGTCCAGGCCACCGTGCTGTGGCGCGGGTGTCCTCGGCTCCCTCGCGAGCGACGAGAAGACACGCCCCTTCCTCTGGGGCCGTGGCTCGGTGCAGCACCTCTGGTTCCAGGCGCCCTTTCTTCCTGGCCCCAACACCGCGCCCCCCGTTCGGTGGTCACTGCGACTTCGGGCGTCACACGCAGCAGCACATCGTGCCTGTGGGCGTGCACGGCCGGGCACGGCTCTGAGCCCGGCCATCCGTGTTGTCCAGACGGGTCCCGCGAGCTCCTCGCCGGCGGCTCGGGACTCGGCCAGGCGCGTTTTCTTTCGGCTCTGGCGCTACGCTCCGTTGTTCTGGCCTTTGCCGTGCAGCGCGTGCTGCTTCTCGTCTTTAGTGTTCCGCAGTCTTGTGTGTAAAGTGTGATTTTTGTTTTTCTTTTTAAACCTCGCCTGGGGTTTGTTGGACTCTAAGTCCCTGGGTCACTGTTTTGGATCCGGTTGGGGGAAGCCGGCCGCGTCCCGTCAGTGCTTCCTCCTCCCCCGCTCCCTCGCTTTCCTCCTAACGCCCCGTTACGCACACGTCATGTCACGTGACGCCGCCCCGCAGGCCCCGAGGCTGCTGCTCCACTCTTGCTCTGAGCCTCGGTTCGGATGGCTGCCGCTCGTCTCCACGTCCGTCAGTCGTCCCATGGCGTCTAACCTGCTGTTAATCCTATCAGTGACACACATTTTTTAAGTTTCAGAGATTGTCATTTTTATTTTTAGGGTTTCCGTTGGGTATTTTTCTAACAAGTAATTTCTCCTGAAATTCTCCGTCCTTCCGGCTGTTACCCATCAGGCTCAAAGTCCTTTCCCGCCACTTGTGGCACCTGGGTCACCTGTGAGCTTGCACTTGCAGACTGTTTTTCTCTCGAGTGAGTCACGACCAGGTTATTGCTCACTGGAGACTGGGTGACGTGTAGACGGTCCCACTGTCCCACACGAAGAGCGCCGGGTTTGGGGTTTAGTGCACGTTTAGTTGCCAGCGAGTCGCTTGGACCGGGCAGAGGCTCGGCGTGAGGCTTTGAGGCAGCCCGGTTTCTGTTCTGCCCTTGTTCCATGCACCTGCGTTCCTGGGACAAGTGGGCCCTTCTGGGGTTTCGTGGGGAGCCAGGCCTCTCCCCAACACCCCCCCACCTTGGCTGGACCCAAATTCCCAACTCCGTCACCCCTGTGTCCAGTGGCTGCGCACTCTGCTCGGCTGTGCTGCTGGCGCTGGTCCTCGGCCTGCTCCGGCTCCGTTTGGCTGCCCCACCCCCCCGCCGCCCCACCAAAACACGAGGCCACAGGCAGCTCTCACTGAGGGAGGGACCCAGGGAGGCCCTCCACCTCACACTCCCCCAGGGCAGGCGGCCCGGCCCCCGCCCAGGCCAGTCCTCGGTGGCCATGATGGAGCGCTGCAGATCCGCACTGTCCTGTATGCTAGCCACTGGTCACTAGCCACTTGAAATGTGGCTCCTGCCACTGAGGAACTGAATTTTTAATTTTCTGTCACATATGGCTGGTGGCTAACACATTGAGCAGAGTGCCCCAGACTTTTGCGGCTCAGAGGGGTCTGAGAAGCAGTGTTCACCTCGCCTGGTCGTTGTGAGAAATGCAGAACCCCAGTCTACCCGTCAGAAGGTGGGACGGGGGCCGTGCTTTAGCTCGCTCTGCGGGCGGCGTCTGTGGACGCTGTCTGAGAGCTGCGCCCTCTGCACCTCCGACCCTTTTCGTACGGTGTTTCCTCGGATGGAAAATGCTGCCGCTTCCTCTGCTTGGCAGGTCTCGTTCTCCGGGACCCAGGTGGCCCAGCTGTCCGAGGCCCTTGCCCACAGCTCCCTGGCCGAGCCGTCGATGGTGCGGGACCGGGCCTGAGGTCTGACCCGAGGGACCTAGCCCAAAACGAAGCTCACCCCTGTGGGAACCTGAACAAGAGGGGGTCCCGGGCGGAAAGGCCAGGTAGGGCCAGGAGCAGAGAACGCTGGCCGGAAGTGACCTGTGCCGCCTCTCCTGTAGGGTGTGGATCGTGGACTGGTTTCCAGGCCGGGGGATGTGGGTGCCTCTGCAGCTTTGGTCTCCTTGCCTGTTGGACGATACATGGAGACCCCTGAGGCTTCCTTTGTGACCCTGGAGAGGCAATTGGGTGGCGGATGCGCTGAGGTCACGGGGTCGGATGGAGCCTGGAGGGGGAGCAGCAGGAAGTTCACCTGCCCTTGGGTGCTAGGCTCTGTCACCTTTCACCCTCAACCCCCAGAGGAGGTGTTTTCAACCTCACTTTAAACTGATGGGAAACCAGAGACGCAGAGGCTGAGACACTTGCGAAGGCCACACCGGGAATGGCCACACCAGAGCTGGAACCGGGCCGTCTGGCTCAAGTGTGCATGGGGCACGGAGGGAGAGAGGGTCCTCCCTGCCCTTGCTGGTACCTTACGAGGAGCTGAGGCCAGAGCGATGCCCAGGGGCCTCCCGGGGACTCGGGGCCATGGGGGTGTCATGACGGTCGTCCCCGCTCAGAGGTCGCCCAGGAGACCCACAGTGCAGAAGTACGTCCAGCAGCAGGGGGTGAAACAGAATTTCTCCTGAAGCCTCGGTGCCCAGGGAAGGACGCTGGCGGGAATCCTCCCCACCAGCGTTCAAGCATCAGGCCTGGACGTGTGTGACTAAAGCAGGGGACGCTAGGACCCTGCCCCGGGGGTGGGTGGAGCGATGCCATCCAGGGCACCAGTCCACACTCAGCGCCGACTTAACCTGGCTTGACCTCTGGGTCTGGGCTCTGGGATGCTGCATGTCCCGAGCCGTCCCGACCTCAGCCGGGGTCCCCTCGGGCCCAGAGCTGTGTGTGCACTTCCTGTGTGGGTCTTCAGCCCTGGCGCCAGCCAGGCAGGGGGTCCGCAGCCAGGTCTTGGCAGAGATGAAACCACCACTCAGCTCCCTCTTGTTCCAAGTGAAAATGCCTAGCCCAGGCGGCCCGGCCCCCGCCCAGGCCCTCCGAGGGCCTTGCTGCAGCGGGGGCTGGGGCCTCCTCACCAGTGGAGCCTCCGGAGATGGCCTGGCTGGCCTTTTCATTAGACCGGCCATGGGAGCCATCCACTCAGCCCACCTGGCAACCGGTCAGGGTGTCAGCCTGTGACCGCGCCAGCTTCCCAGGCCCGGCCGGAGCCTGCGGTGGAGCAGGCAAACCCTGCACCAGGCGCAGCTCCCCCAGCGCCGTCCCCACCCTGTGGGGCCGGCCTGGCACCTGCTTTTCAGAGCACCCCCGCTGGCCTCCCGAGCAGCTCCGTGCACTGAGCACCTGACCCAGGCCAGGCCACGTAGCGGGTCTCTGCCCGTGCTGGGCGGGTCAGGGAGCCGGGATCACGTAGCCGAGTCCTGCCTGTGATGCTACCCAGGGAGAGTGGGCCACACCCGAGAGGGGGCCCGGTTCTGCACGGTTCCTGAGCTCCCAGCACACCCGCCTGTGGGCTCTGTGGCACCGCTCCACCCCCAGCCCCCTGTCCTCCCTGTCTGCACTTTGGCTGACGCTAGAGTTGGGTTCTGCTCCTTGCGTGCCTTTACCCTGGGGCCTGTGACACCCCGCCCACTCCACCCAGAACAGGGTGGGGCTATCCTCCAGTTCACAGGAGTCCAGCTACAGGGCCCCAAGAATGAGCCCGAGTGTCCACCGTCTGTGCGGGCTCCTTTGCTGCACTACACACACACACACACGCACACACGCACACACGCACACACGCACACATTCACACATTCACTCACTCACTCTCACACTCTCACACACTGTCCCCAGTTAACGGTCCCCCAGGAGGCTGAGCCCTGCATCCCAGAAATGCCCTGGCCCCGGGCCACGGAGCTACCCCTCCACCTCCGGCTCTGGCACCTGCCAGCTGAGTCTGGCCTGTGGGCTGGCACCCCCTGGGTGAGCATCTGGGCTGAGGCGGCAATGTGGCCTCCAGGCCCTCGTGCCCTTATTAGCAAGCAGCTGGGCGGGGAGCCACTGGCTCGTGGGTTACTGCTGGGTCAGTGCAGCCACAGGAGCCCAGGGCCCCTCCCAGGTGACCCCCACGGAAGTGAGGCCTCTAAGGGACCCGAGTGCCCTCCGTCTGCAGGTGGACGCGTGGGAGCCCCAGGGGGACTGGGTGGGTAGGGAGCCTCTCCCCAACCACTCGCGGCCACAGGTGCGGCTGATCCTGACCATGGCCATGAGGATCTGGCCACATGGACCGCGGCTCTGACGTGACGTGCTGCTAGCCATGCGCCTTG